TTGTAATGGTTCTTTATGATTAAATAAATAAACGACACCAACCTGATTGCGGGATTAAAAAAAAAAAAAAAAAAAAATAAAGTTAACTAATAATTTTATAATCATAAAATTATTTTGTTTATATTATAAGTCTTTATTTAATAAAAGAATTTTATTTTTGACTTTTACAATTTTTATAACAATAACTACAGTAACCTAATGGTCTTCAGAATTAAATTACTTTTAATTATCTTTTTTCTACAATTTATATCTTAAACATTATAAAGATCCATATTGTTTTAGATATAGCTTTTATTTAAAAGATACTTTTCATACTTTCAACTATTCTGAAGCTAAAGAAGAAGTTTAGCAAATTATAGATTCAATCAATCTTATACTTTATTTAAACAGTAATAATTATCTAATTTTCAATATATAACGAGTAATAGAACTAGTATATAGAATTATTACCAATATCTTCTTTATAATCAATATCTACAATTGAATCAAAGCATTTATTGAAGCCTTAATTATTTTATAATCTTATATAGAAACCCACTATAGTATAGCAAACACTTCTCTATTCATTGGTATTAAATAGATTAAAATATTAAAAACAAAAAATAACAAAAAAAATAATAACAGTTACAATATTAATTTATTACTAACCAATATTTACTTCCTTTATTATATCAATTTAACTTTTTTATCAAATAATATTATAGTCAATATTTTTACAGTTGTTGCAACATGTATTTCTAATCTTATTTCTAACTATTATAATATTATTTCTCCAAAAAATTTTAAGTAGGCATTTATAACTGCTTGGTATTATTTAATTAATATACTAGTTTTAAATTTCTTTTTTAATAAAAGTTAAATAATTACTATAGGCAAGCTAGCATTTAACTTATTGCAATTTGTATATAAAAGATGTTGTTTTTTTTTAAATATATATCTTGTAATATATACATGTTGCTGAAATTCGTAGATTCTTGATGCAATTGACGCAATTATTTGGCACAATTAATTGAGTCACTATTAAAACATATAAATAATTGAGTCATGATGCAATTATTTTTGAGGATTTTGGGAATTGAATCAACAGCAAAATAATTTATGCCACATGTATATTGTAATATATAAATAAATAAAAAAATAGTGTTAGTAATATAGCAGCCAATGCCAGTGTAGATTTCTACAAGTGATATACTGATATCTAGGATACCTAATAAGATGATACGTGACAACCAGGGATTCTAGCTACCCTCACAAACAGAGCTGGTGTTGATAACAGAAGTTCCTTGATCACTTCTCGACAATGTAGGTCCATATACATAGTTAGGTAACAATGTCTTTAAGAAATTCCAATTCAACTTTATTTATTGGACACTTCTGTTACACTTGGAAAATGGATATGCCAAACTCTTTATATGACTTGAAGGCCAATCTGTGAAAAGTGGCTGCAGCATCTTCATATGTAAAAAAAAAACCAACTCTCTTCTCCTTTACTTCTCTACCTGCTGTACATTAAGCCAACTTTGGAAAGCAAGCATGTCAAATTCTATTTATGACTTGAAGGCCAACCTGTATACTTGGCTACAGTGTCTTTATGTATTTGGATATTTCTAATCCTTTCTAGTTCACACTAGGCACCTGTCTGAGTATTAAGTCTAGGTTTTAATATTATATTTTATTAGCGCTTAGGTGGGTTTATAGGATAATACTGGAATGGTCGGGACTATACATGTGGTGTAAATTATTTTGCTGTTGACTCAATTCCAAAAATTCTCAAAAATAATTACGTCATGACTTAATTATTTATATGTTTTAATAGTGACTCAATTAATTGTATCAAATAATTGCATTAATTGCATTAAAGATCTATGAATTTTAGCAACATGTATAGTCGGAACTATTTTTGTTGTATCTTACATTAGACTCTTTTTAGCAAAAAAAGATATATATTAGTTTTTAGATTTGTAATATTGCTATACAGTAATCTCTTATAAATAATAAAGATACTAATAACCATTCTGATATTAAAAAAATAAAAAAATAATGTTTATCTACTTTAAAAAAAAAAATTAATTAATTAATTAATTAAAAGTTTCAAGTTATATCAATACTAACTTATAAATTTGACCTGTGAGTCTATAGTGTAGTAGTTAACATTTCACAGGTCAAATCACAAGATACCAGTTCAATCCCATGTAAGGGCAGTTGAATAGAATTAATATGGTATCTGATACCATAACCTGTTAAAAGTGTTGTTTCTTATAAGAAGCCATTTCTTATGCTAATTCAATAAGTGTTGAAATTGTAATTTCCAGAAAAGGTATTAGGTGTAATGATCATCCAATTGATGTTACGATTAGGGCTCCTAACGATATCACTTCCATTTTGATATCAGTTCAATATCAGTTTGGTACTTTTTTGGAGCCCTAGTTACGATGATTGCCAGAAGTTGCAAGGTGTATGAAGTATCTGCTTTCAACAAGTAGGTTTGATAATTCTTTTTTTAATATCTAACATCTTTCATGCAAATCTCTGTCCTAGTCTGATCTGGTGATACTTATTCTGAGAAGACTTCTGGCTATAAGTCCTATTCCCTGCAATGTGTAAGTTGGTATTCAGACAATAAGCACTAGTTATAAGTACCTTAAATGTTCTTGGGTATCATTGAACAGGTAAGAAATTAAATGGTTAACCCAGTTGCAGGTAGTGATAAAGGGATTTATCCCTGATAAAGCATGTAATGATTATATAGCTTTATTTGCCATAAATATTACTTCTAGTATCCTCTTTCAACTTCCCCTTAATTTCTTTCCAGTTAAAAATAAAGCTATCCAATTACTAATGAAAATGTACACTACTAATCCAACAAAGTATTATCTTTGTTCAGTAGATTAGCCTCTATATCTAATATAGTTAGGAACAAGTTACAGCAAATATTGTTATTTGGAGTAATTCTGATAAGTGTTGGATATAACTGACAACTGATACGTTATTACATAGTCCTAGATAGTAATGTCTAAAGATATATGTAAACATCATTATGAGAAATAAATATCTAGCCAGACAATTATTGTTGGTGCACTTTAAAAATAAATTTTTTAATTATAGTATTTATATAAATATTATAATCAATGTTTTAAATAAATATACAGTATATATACAGTTTAAAAAACTGTATTTGTGTATATATTATAACTATATATATAAAATTAATCAATTATTATTTTTAATTATATTAAGATATACAATAAATAGTTGATAAGTCAATTCCTAATCATTGTTTAATTACCATGTGAAAAACTTAATAAATTAAAAATTTGTTCATATGTTAACTTCCTTTTGTTTTTCGATATTTATGACGACGTGTCTTTACATTTAGATGTTAACGAAATTAATTATTTCGCCTTTTATAAATATCCCAACTATAGCGCTTTGATCTTGTTTTTTATTGGATATCTCATTTAGATATACAAAAAAAGTATATAAAATAAAAAATACAAATAGTAATCACGTTACAAGAATGTATGAAACGAACTAAGCATTCGGATTTCCGGCAATACTTTTGTGAACTTCTTCATAAATAAGATCTGTCTTATCAGACACTTGCAAATCAACACTTATTCCCAGAAGTCTATCCCGAATCGCCTTCTTGCTCGAAGAATAGATCATTTTTTGTCTGACACTTTTGACACCGTCTGAATCGGGATTCCTACAATACAATTTAATATGTTAATTACAATATCGCCAAAATAAGTATTGACTTTAGTCGCATTTCCTATACAAATTTAAGCTGTGTTCTTGGAAATTATTGATCAAGATATGAAAATTTTGTCACAAATTTCGCAATAAAGATGCGCATAACTATATTTATCAAGCACTTGTAAAAATGCATGCTTCGAACTTAATCTTTAAATATTAACTTACCACAAGAAAAAAATAATCTTATTACGTCGACCCTCTTCTGTGTCGTACGCGAAATCATAGACTATATAACGAGGCTCATTATCGGGAATGCTCGGTAAGAATTCTTTTTCATAGTCGCAACCTTTTTGACCAACTTTGTCAACGACAATTGCTTTGAAATCATCAGAAACTTTGAATATAATGTACTGATGCTTTTTTCCTAATTGAAGATCTTTGTATGTAGTAAGACTTTCGTCGCTAACAGTAATACCACTAGCCTATTGGAATTAAAATTATTTGTAAAACGTTCAAGATAATTAGAAAACTTTTTTTGCTTTTTCCAACTTACCATTTTGAAATAATATAGTTCAAAAGAAAAATTTTTTTATTTTCCTAGAACACGGAAATTTTTATTCAGTCGGCAGTCTGAGCCAATCGTATGTTATTTTGTAATACATGTTTTCACCTGACAAATAATTTAATATACAGTATATGCTTTTTAATAATGTAAGAAGTAACATTTTATATAAATATATATATATAAGAAACAATTTTTTTTTTGCTTCTAATCAGACCACATGCAATTCTGTGCATTTAAAAACAGTAATACATTAAACCCTAAGGCTTTATATTAAAGCCAAACTGTTATATTGCAGAATATCCATTAACAAGTTATTTGTAGATTTGTATATTAATATTTTATTATTATTTATTTGATTAATTAATAGGATCTTGCTTAGCATATATAATTTATTTAATTTATATATATATATTTTATATTATAAAGATTACTATCTATTTTTTTTTCCATAATCAAACAAGTATTTATAAAGTTTATTTAATTTTAATATTGGTTTTACAATTTTTAATGAAGATTATTATCTATAACACTAGTTCAAATTAGGTTATTCAGCTGCTGAATTATAACCAATTAAATCCAAATTTATTAATAAAAGTTTATAAAAAATATATAATAATTCAAAAAAAAAATATAACATTTGACAAAAAATAATTATTTGACAATAAAATCATTTGGTAAAAAAATCATTTGACAAAAATATATTTCTAGTTAAAAAATATTTGGCAATAAAGTTACAACATTCTATAATAAAAATTATAATATTTGAAATAAATTTTTATTATTTAACTATAAAGTTGACAAAATTATTTAGCATTATATACTTCAATAAAATCAAATTATATATTTTTAATAAAAAAATTATATTTATAATAATATTTGATAAAATTTAATTAATACTTAATAAATTTATTAAAAATATAAAAAATATAAATTTTGAACTAATTATTCACTAGTTATTTATTAATTATTTATTTATCTTTTACTAATTATTTACTAATTAATTATTTAGTAATAGTTTGTTTATTATTCACTAATTCTTTACTCATTGTTTACTAAATTTTTCCTCTATTTCTTTATCTAAATTTTACTGCTTATAATCATTTTTTTCTTTTGCTGATTTCATTATGGCTTTTATAACTTTTGAAGATTTTATAATGCCAAATTTCCTTTGCTTTGAAATACTTTTTTATAGTTTTTGTACTTTTTGTATTTCTTATGCTTCTCATGATTTTTTTTTAATTTTTTCTTTAATATTGCTTTCTGAATTTCACTCATTTATATACTTTCTTTAGTTTAATGCTTCTCTTCTTTTGAATATATAAATAACTCCTCATAATTAGATATTCTTTATTTTTTATGTTTTTTTATCAATTGTTTATCTTTTTTACTTTGTTCTATTTTTTACTCTTTATTATCTAATTTACAAGTCCAACTTGGCAAGTTTTCTGACAGAATTATATTGTAACAATAAAATTTGCTAAAGTTTTATTTATGAGTCAATTGAAATAATTGAAATAATTTTGAATATTTATTTAAATTTTCCAAAATAATTACCGTAAACCACTGCATACAATACCCCGGGTATTAATTATTCCACCAGAAAAATTACTTAAGGAAAAAAAGAAAAATACTATTAAAAAAATCAAGAAGGGTACTATTCAAGGGGGGGTATTGTATGCAATAGTTTACGGTAGTAATGAATTAATTATTCAATATAAAATTATTTATTAAAAAATATCTTATCAAAATACTAACTATAGTTATATACATTTATTCTTTTCTTATCATTATTTTCTAAATCAGTTTTACTTTTTTCAGCTGAATGGATTTTTGGTTTTTTAACTATATCAATTAATTTCTTTTGATATTTTGTAATACTTTTAAACTTTTTATTAATAAATGACTATACTTTTTTGATTCTTTGTACCCTTTTCTTTATTATTTAATAAAAATTAATATAAGTAATATAATATAAATATTAATTAATTTTACTTCATTTAATTGGCTATTTGTATGTAAGTGACAATTATCTATATCTAATTTTCCTGTTTGTGTTTTTTGATATCTTTCTCTTTGATAATAATATAAAGCATCTAACCAATCGTTCAGCTACTTTTATAATAGATTAAAATATGAAGCCATTAATTTAATAATTTGAATATTAACTTGTTTAATATTTTTTTATTCACATTACTTGAATAAACTTTATTTACCTTTAATTAAAGTTCTTTACAAATAGTTTTTATCAGAATCTTTATTTTAGCCCTTGTCTTTTTTTATTTTTTATTTTTATAAACAGTTTCTGAAGATTTGATTGTTTCTATTATTTTGCCTTTTTAACATTTTTATCTTTTTCTTTGGACTAAATTCTTTGGCTCTTTAATATATTCAATATATTTTCAGAATCTGAAATTATATATTCAGTTTCAGTTTCAGATACAGGTTTGGGCTAATATTCAGGTTCAGGTTGATATTTAAGTTCAAGTTGATATTTAGGTTCAGGTTAATTTTGAGATTTAGATTGATTTTGAGATTCAGATATTATTTTTATAGTTTCTATATCTACATTTGGCTGTAATACTGATTATGCAGTTTTAGTTATTCATTTTTCATTTTTAGATATTCAATATACTTTTTTTGCTGATTTGATTTGTTGAAAAATATTCTATTTATATGTTCTATTGTAACTAATTGTGCTTTCAAATTAGCATTTGCTTTTTATAGTTCATTTATCTTTATACATATTCTTTATTTTAAAATAAATTAACAAATTAATAAAAGTAGATTTTATGATTTAAAAATAGTTTAAATTGTATCTTTTTTTATTTTTTCTTAAGTTCAAGTCACAAACTTTGGTTTGGGAGTCAATACTTATACAATTTCAGTCACTAAGCTTTTAGATAATAAAAGAGATGTTCTTCTTCTGAGCAATTCAGTTGCTATTACAGGAATTAAATATTTGATACTAGTAATTATTGCATGTTCTTTTGATATAACAGATGAAAATAATTGTTAGGATTGTAAAAAATGTTCTGAAGATTATTAAGATAATAAATGTTGTGACTTTTTTTTATAAATATTTTTTTCAAATAGTTTTTTTTGTTGTTTAGACATTTAGATAAAAATTAATTTTAATTAAATTAATAAAGATATTTATATAAAATTTTATATATTATTTTGTTTTATAATTCAATATTTATTATATTATTATTTGCATTATTTGTATTATTAAAATTTTTATTTATTATTTTATATTAAAAAATCATCATTTGATATTGTTTTATTTAAATTCATTATTCTATATTCATTATTTAGTTTTATTAAATAAAAATTTGTTGTATTCTATTAAAATTTGTATATTATATTAAGATTCATCAACATTTGATAATTCAGAGTTAAATGATGACTTTTGTTACTTTATATTTAATATTTATTAATTGAAATAGCAAAGAAGTGTTCAATTTCAACTTTACTTAATGAAAGTTCAAAAAAAAATCTAAAAAAACAAAAGTTATTTGTAACTGTAATAAATACAATTAATTACTTGTTAATTTACAAATAGAGTTTTTATATAGATATCAAAAAATAAAAACTAAAAACTCAGCAGATCAAGAATTTACTATTTGGTAAAAAATTAAGAATATTTAACTAAATCAAATTATGGCTTTAAGCAATAATCAACAAAATTCAATATTAAATAATACTAATGCTAAAAATAATGAATTTGAATACAAAATCGAAATAATGAATTTGAATTTAAAGTTGATAATGATTTTAACAGCAATTCTGATAACATGTTTGAAAATTATTTGGCTCCTGATTACAAAGTTTTATTATATTTTAATGAATTTGCTAATAGCTGTTTTATATGGATTTTATTATAAATTATAAACTTTAGAATAAGATTTAATTTGTCAAATACTGTAATAAAAACATTTATAAAATTTATAAAGTTAATATTAATTAAAATTGGCAACAGTGAATATAAACTTTTTTGTGGATCATTATATGTGGTCAAAAAATTACTTAGTTATTAGATTAATTTGTTAATTTTGTAGCATGTCAAAAATATTACAAATTATATAAACAAGATAATATACTAAGTTTTCAAAAAAACAATTGACTATCAATAATGAAATATATTCATATTGAATTTCTAAATTCAACAACTCAAAGAAGAAGAATTCGCAATACTCTATTATTTATACTATTCAAATTATTAAATAGAAACATTAACCAGCCAAAATTAATTTTTTCTTATGTAATTATTTGGTAGCAATTATTTTAGATGTATCAAAATCCAAATTTTGAATCTAGTCTTCGGCACTAGACAAACTGATCAAACACTAATGAATTGTTATACAATATTTATAATAGCAATATTTGAAAAACTTTTAAGAATAAAAATTCTAAATTATTTTTTAGTAAAAAAACAGCTAATTTGTATTTTAAATTGGTATTGTCATATATCGTTTCTATCTCAGAAGAAAGATAAAGACGGAGAACTAGTAGCAAGGAGGCACTTTAGATGGACAGGGCCAATGTGGTATGCTAAAGTTCCTAAAGGCATACAAATTAGTACAGTTCTGAGG